AAAAATTTCCAACACAGAACTATCAACCAATATTTGAAAACGTGTGCGAAGCCCGTGATGAAACCATTTGGGTTCATTTTATTGGGAAGAGTACAGACTTCAAGACCCCAAGCCACAATGATCCAATGCTTGCATAATAAAAACATGAATCTTTATAAAGCACATGATCATTGAATGGACAATGGGCTCGGCTCTGGGCAACACACCCTCTCAGCTACTCCCCCTCCACAAAAAATCTACAAGATGTTTCAAGTTATGACACTTGTCCTCTTTTGGAACGTGAGCCTAGCAAAACATCGCACTTAGGAGATGGTCTCCTTCCCACACAACCATTGCAAACCAGGTCTGGTTTTGGATTGCTGTGGTCACAGTTAAAACTGCAGCCAAAATAGACAAGAGAGGCCTCGTTTGTCCATCAGCAGCTTATGTGGCTCAGATCCCCCAGTCCTGCAAATACGGCAGAAACCTTGTTCATGTTGACTGTGCATTCAAGATATGAGAATCAATTTTCTGGAACAGCCTCTGCCTTAGAATTGCTGTTTTTTGCATCCTTCTTCACTTTTTTCTTGGCAGTTAACCTATTAAAAATAACAAAAGAGCAAGTACCAGGTTAGAAAACATTTCACGTCTCCAACTCTTCTGAACTTTAAAAGCCAATCCCCTAGCTACTAATTCTTCCAGCACAGTAGACTCTTCAGGAAACTGGTTTCCAGCCACTCATCTGTCTACTATTTTGAATTTCAATTCCCAGAATCTCTATCTAATAGCTTTAAACACTGGAGTTCTAAAGGTTGGCGTGTAGGAAGGTCCTGATTCAATTTCTGATATATCCAGCAGGAGCTCAGCAGGGAATTGATGCCTTTTAAACAGCCACTGACAGGCAAAATACACAGTGCTGTGTTACGATGAACCAGTAATAGAATTCAGAAAGGCAACTTCTCAAAATGTCTGCAAGCTATTGACACAAACTGTACAGGCTTCCTCTATTTTTTTTCTATTCCGTTGAGCCACGAGTCTTATCTAGAGATTGATGGGAGAATTTTTGTTTTTTAAAGTACAGCTGAACATTCAAAGAAGGGGCTTGGAAATACCCTCAGGGACGATTGCCTTGTCTTCCTTTAGGGTCCTGCCTTCGAAAACAGAAGCAATTATTTCCTCTAGGTCAGTGGTTCCCAACTTTGGGTCCCCCAATGCTCTTGGACTACAACTCCCAGAAGCCTTCACCGCTAGCCGTGCTGACCAGAATTTCCGGGAGTTGTAGTCCAAGAACATCTGGGGACCCAAGGGTGAAATCCAGCTATCCCGTTGTAATCGCCATCTCTGCAGCCTCCAAAACAGATTTAAGAGATTAGCAAGGAGGAAGACAAGCTCTTTTTCTGAAGCCATATCTACCCAAAAAGGCCAGTTTCCCAGAATGGTAAGTGCAAAACATTTTGACTACATGTTCTCACTTATACAAGTACTGAGAAGAGTTTTATCTGCAGAAGGTCTGAGGCAGGGCTCGGAAGTCTTCTGCCTGAAAACTCAGAGACATAAGTCAGATCGTATTTTTTTTAAATGATCCTGAGCTAGATGGATCAAAAGTCTGACTCATAAGAGGCAGCTTCTTACGTCAATCAAGAGGGGTAATCGATGCTCCCCCCACATCCCTTCCTATGGAATCAGATAAAAATGCAGCTTTTTCCTTAGGTGCTCCAGATGCAGAATTTTCCTCTTACTTTTTCCTCTTGGCTATCCTCTTCAAGTACTGAGGAGACGTAACGATGTGTTCCCTTTCCAGCGGCTTCTTGATCAGCTTCTTCTTTTGTTTGCTGCAAACAACACGGGAAGGGGCAGACAGATAAGCTCGTTTCAATGGGATGGAAAGCAAAAAACACCTTTTAAAAAGGGTTTGGCTACCACAACGCAAGTCCAAAGCACAGATAACTGGAAACGAGCCACACACTCTCCCTCCCTTCGCTCTCTTCTTCCCTTTCCTGTTTGCGACTAATTATCGTGTGTTGTGGTCCCTGAAATGGCAAAGCCTGGTTTGGGACTGCGTTTCCAAACAGGCACAGCGAAACTAGTTTGAAGAGCAGAACTCTGCATGCTCCGGTTCCCCTCTACGCCTAGATCGCACCAGCAGTAAGAGGAGCGAAGCCCAGCTGGCCCGCCTTCCAAACCCCCTTAACCTGTC